CAGCCTGAATTATTTTATAGAAAACCATAGACATCGAATCATTTCATCTGTAGATATTTCACCTGTACTCCTAAAATGTAAGAGCTTTAAAAAACGTGACCACAATACCATCATCACATTAAAAATTAATACTACCTTAATATCATAAAACAGCTAGCCAATGATCAACTTTCTGCAATTATCTCATACTTGTTCTTCCTTTCCTATCCTTTTTTCTTCTTCATTCTCTTGTTCCTTCTTTCATTCCTTCCTTTGTTCTTTTCTTCCTTCTCCTTTTAAAAAAGAAGAGTTGTTTGAATCAGGATCTGAATCAGAAGGATTTTATTTTTTAATATTCATGTTCTTCTCAACACCTAGCTTAGTATTTGACATATAGTAAGTCCTCAACAAATGTTTGTTGAATGAATAAATCATTAAGATTCTGTAAAAGATCCTGTTTGATTTTTGGTTGGTTTCTTAGGACGCCTTTCACCTTCTGATAACTTTAGTTTTTCAGGAATTAACTTAGATGCTAACTACTATCAGTGCCTGTGAACATTGCTAAGGGCTTGAGGACAGCGACTGTATCCTTAAATCAGACATTTACAGGCTAGAAGGAAATGCGCGGGCCCTTGCTTTCATGTTTCTGTTTTTTATCCTTGGTCTCTCTCTCTGATACGGGCTGAATTGTGTTCCCCTGAAATTATGATGTTGAGACCCTAACCCTCAGAATGTGATCGTATTTGGAGATAGGGCCTTTCATGGTGATTAAATTAAAATAAAAATGCTTTTGGAATGGGTCCTAATTCAATCTGTCTGGTGTCCTTATAAGAAAAGGAAATTTGGACACAAAGGAAGATACCCGGGATGTGCATGCACAGAGAAAAAGTTGTGTGAGGACACAGCGAGAAGGCAGCCATCTGCAAGCCAAGGACAGGAGCCTCAGAAGAAACCAAACCTGCCGACACTTGATCCTGGACCTCCAGAACCGTGAGAAATACATTTCTGTTGTTTAAGCCACCCTGTCTTTCTGGTACTTTGTCATGGCAGCCACAGCAGACTAATCACAGCATCTTTATAAGGCAATTTCCTGAGACGAGAAAAAGCAAAACAAAACAGTATCTTATCTCATGTTAAGTTAGACTGATCATGTTTAGCTTCTTTGCCGCTTCTTCAGAACAAGACCCCGCAGGAGCTTCTTGAGGGCAGGAGCAGCTGTATGTGGTGCTGTGATAGCAAAAAATCCTAGGATGGGCCCTAATCCCTGGAACTGTGACTGTGATGCGATGTCACACCCGTGGTTTTGTAGCCTTGTGTGGTAATGGGATTTCGAAGATGTAGTTAAGGTTACAAATAAGTTGATTTTGAGCTAATCAAAAGAGAGGTGATCTGAGTGGACTTAATCTCATCACATGAGCCTTTTAAAAGTGAAAGTGGAGAGTTTTCTCAGTCTGGTCTCAGAAGGGAAAATCAGAGATGGAAGCATGAGAGGGATTCCACTGGAGGGAGGTGTCCCTTGCTGAGATGGAGGGGTCGTGAGCGAGGGCCTGGGAAGGTCCTCTAGGAGCTGAGAGCGACTGGCCAACAGCAGGACAGTGGGGACCTCAACCCATGACTGCAAGGGACTGAACAGTGCAAACTAACGAGTGAGTGTTGTTTTAAGCCGCTAAATTTGTGTTAATTTATTATGCAGCAATGGAAAATGAATACAGCTGCTTTGTACTTGAGACATTGACTCAGCGGCTCCTGTCCTTATTTTATCTTTAAAAATTGAGTAAAAATTGTAAAGTTAAAATACATTGAAATGTGCACAGATCTTAATTGTACAATTTGATTTTTGGTAAATGTATACCAAAAATGTCATCACCACCTGAATTGAGATGTAGAATATTTCCAACAGCCCCCAAGCCCCCTTGAGCACCTTTGCGGTGAATCCCACCCCACAGGATGAATTTTTAACACGATTAATTAGAATTGCCAATTTTTGAGCTTCATTTAAATGGTGTTATATAGCACGTGCTCCTTTGTGTCTGGCCTCTTTTGCACAACATGACGTTTTTGAGATTCATCCATTTTGTTTTATCAGTAGTTTGTGCCCTTTTGTTGCTGATTAGTATTCTATTGTATGAGTAGTCCACAATTTTTTTAATCCATTCATCTGCTTATAGACATTTGGATTATTTCCACTTTTTGGCTATTATGAGCACTGCTATGAGCATTCATGTTCAACTCTTCGTGTGGATATGTATTTTCATGTCTCTTGGGTAAATACCTAGGAGTGGGATTGTTGGGTTGTATAAGTATATGTTTAACTTTATAAGAAACTGTCAAACTGTTTTCCAGAGTGGTTGTGTCATTTTATATTTCCACCAGCAACACGAGAGTACCAGTTGCTCCCCATCCTCACAACACTTGGTATTGTCAGTCTGTTAAAGTTTAGCCATTTGCCAACAGTTTCTTCTTGAGTACCTCTCTGTGCCCTGCAGAAAGATTATTCATCTCATGTTCATCATGTAGATTGTTCTTCCAACTCTTCTTCATCCTTTCTATCCTACCTATGCTTCGGATCACTGTTTCCTAACATGGAATAAATGCGAGAATCACTTGGGAGCTTTTCAAAATATACAAGCCCAAGTGTCACTCTGGGCACACTGCATCAGCTTCCCAGGGGTGGTATATGGGCTTATGTTTGTTGAACAAGTTCCCTAGGTAATTCTGATGTATACTCCTAGCTAAAAAACATAGATTCAGGCCCAAGCCCTACCTATTATAGCAAGTGTTCTCCATCCTAGTTACATGTTAGTAGCATCTGGGCAGGTTTAAAAATTACTAATGCCTGGGTCCCCCTGCATACCAATTAAATCGGAATTTGTGGGTGGGGCGTGAGTATCAGTTGTTCTTTTAAACAATTTCTCAGTGATTCCAGTGTGTAGCCATGTTTCCCTTTAAATTTCTCTGACTTCTTATGGAATTTATTCCTTTCTATTTTTGTATTATACTTATTTTTCGTGTCTTATCTTTTATCTTAGACTTTATGTTCCCTGGAATAGGGACCTTGCCTTCCTCATTTCTGTATCTTTTACGAACACATGAATTAGTCATCAGGAGAAGATTCTCAACCACAGGTCGGTTGTGTCCTGAGTCTCAGGTTCACAGTTAATGCCACAGTCTTTGTCCTCTGTGAAGTCAGAGATTGCTTGTGATGAAGGTGTGGGTAACTCCACAGTGCAGATAGTGGAGGGGACATCGCCCTGTTTGGAATGTTTTTAGGCATGAATTATATGTGCGTATGGGGTAGAGGGGCAGGGCTGTGTAGGGAGACAGATCTAGTTAGGATTGGAGGGGGTGGGCATGGTGGCACGTGCCTGTAGTTCCAGCTACTTGGGAGGCTGAGGCAGGAGGCTCACTTGAGCCCAGGAGTTTGAGGTTGCTGTGAGCTATGATGACACCACTGCACTCTAGCCTGGGCAACAGGCAAAAAAAAACAAACAAAAATTAAGATGAAGTCTTATACTAGGGCGTAATGGTAAAGAAGTAAGAAGGATGAGTAAAGAGAAGAAATTGGAACCTATCGAATAGGCCAGAGTAGGCCACTATGGACTCTTGAGTAGGAGAGTGAACTAGTTCTCAGGAAGGTAGTGAGGCAGTGGTGTGCAAGGAGGATTTGGAGAGACTGGAGACAGGAAGTCATGCAGTGCTGGGGGCAGTCGTTGAGGGCCTGGGTTAGTTAGGTTTATGGAAGTGGAGAGAACGACGTAAGTGGGAGATGTTACAAAAGGATTGAGAGGCTCTGACGATGTGCTGAATGTGGGCAACAAACGAGCAGGGGCAGGGAAACTGTGGTGGTGTCACTGG